CCCTCAGGTATACCTAAACATCCCTTCAAACTCCACCCCTGGTAAAAGGCCATAGGAGCCTTAGCCTCCATTTTCTCCAATCGAGAGAATTCTTAATCTTCCCCAAATTCTATGTCCTCCAAGATAAGAAAGCCCCTTTCCCTTTTTCCTTCTGCCTGTTTCTCTGCTGCTCTGGGCACCTGAAAAAAACCTATCAATATTCACCAAAGAATCAAATGCAAAAATAGCGCAGAAGATCTGCCCATGCACGAGAGACCCAAAGAATCCAGATGAGGCCTGGATCCCCATGGCCTCCACACCTCGCATCGTGCTGATTCAGTTCCACTTGGTGTTACAAGTGAACCATTAGTTAATCCACCACATGCGTGCCCTCCAAGAGTCCATCTGGAGACCTAGAGCCCACGACAATGCCTATGTGCATCTGCATCAAGGATCTGCACTGGGAAGACCCGAAGGTCAGTGGTGAGAGGTACAAAGTCCATGCCAGCGGGATGAAGGATGTGTGCCAGCAGCCTGAGGGATCTGCCCTAGAGCCAGGAAGCGATGCTTCCTAGAGCTCCCCCAAAGAGAACCTCAGCCATCCTTAGTAACAGCAACGTCCTGAGCTCCTCCAATGATGAGAGCAGCTGCATTCATGTCAGGAAAGCCAGCATGAAAGCTCCTCCAGGAGAACCAACAGAAACCCTTTTCTCCAGTTCTCCTTTTTATGCAGTTGGCAACAATCCTCAGGTGCGCCTCCACACCCCGCACCGTGCTGATTCAGTTCAGCTTGGTGTTACAAGTGAACCACTAGTTAATCCACCACATATATGGCCTACCTAATTTTTAAAAAGGGATTTCAGATGAGCTCATGTGATTTAGCTGCGTCCATAATCTTGGATTCCAGATAGCTCCATTACATAAAATTACCGTCACAGAAGAAAGCAGGTTTTCAGAAACCAGGTGGGAGAGAGGGCAGGGAGCAGGTTGGATTTCTTGGCATTGTTATGGTTTGTGTCTAGTTGTCCTTCCGCAAAGCCTTGTACAGTCATGGAGCAGCTTCTACAGTTTGTGATTACTTCTTTTTTTAAAATTTATTTTTAATTTATTATTTTTT